TAAATGTTTTTAACAAAGTGATATTTGAGCACTCTGGATACCATACAAATGTGGGACAGACAGAAGGAATATATGCAGCTTAATTTGAGTTAGCATTTTTTGAAATTTTATATTGTAGAAGTATACATATTTACTGTTGTGGAATTAGAAAGAATTGATAGACAAGGAGGGCAGTCTACAAAGCACTCCATAGATCCATCATACTGAGACAATGCTTAATGCTTTGATGGATTTATTTAAACTTTCTGTGTACATTCATGTATTGTATGCATACATGTGCATGGTTAAATAGAACGTGTTCTCCTTGGTGTTCTGTTTATCCATTTATTGTTATGAAGTAAGTCCCCAAAGAGTACGTTTGCTTTGCCTGAGAGAGTCTTTTGCTACATACTGCTGTACTTAATGAAAACTAAAAAAGGGGCTAACTTTTCAGCCTTGTGACCTTGTGGTGATTCAAGCAGAGGCTTCATCAAAGGCAGATTCAGAAATGAACTTGGTGTGTGCAGGTGGTTGTGCTTGACACTATTGTTTGTAACAGTATGATAGGGATGACTTCAGTGTCCACCAACAGGAACTGGTTAAGTAAACTGTGGTCCATCCAAATGATGCATACTGTGCAGCTGAAAAGAAGAGTGAGAAAGACTCTGCACTCACGTAGAAGAACTCAGATTGATGGTGTGTGTGTTTTAAAAGGAAGAAGGAATGGTATCGTATGTGTGGTATGCTACTTTTTGTGTTGAGAGAGAAGAGTAGAATAAGAATATACATGTGTATTTTCAAAGATAAATTCTGAAATGATATATAAGAAACCAATTAAAAGTGTTTGGCTGTGGAAGGAGAATAAGACTCTGAATGGGATTTTGCCACATACTTTTATAGATAGTTACATTTAGAAATTTTCTGAACAATATGTACACGTGACCCTTTTAAAAATAAGTGAATGAAGGAATGAAGTAGGATTATGAGAAAGAGATAAGAAAAAAGGATCTAAGGGGCTGCCCATCTTTTTAGTACCCAGTGAATACTAGTATGTAACAATAGCAGCAAAAGTTGGAAGAGTAACCCCAGGAGGGTAGGGAGTCAGCCTTTCCTTTGTCTTTTCCTCAATTTCATATATTAACATATATTCTGAGAACAGTAAAACAATTTGAAATAAAAATGTCTCCAGATCTCTTAAAATAAAAGGAAGATGGGCAGCTTTATGTAGTGCACTTCCCACAAATGGGCTGGTTTCCCTCAAGAGGCAGGAGTTCTAGCCTACTTGGGATACATATGGGAGGAAAAATAAGAAAAAGAAAATAGATTTAAAGATAAATAAATGAAAATAACACTTCTCCCTGATTATAAAGGAAATCACATTCTTTTTGTAAGAATTTGGATGACAAATATTAAGAAAAATCTTTAATTTGCCACTCAAAACATTCTGGTTTGTTGTTTTTTATACTTTTTATACATGTAAATATTTTCAAAAGTAGAATCATATTAGATAGTGTTTTTCCACTTACTATATTTTGGGCATACTTCTGTGACAGGAAATATATCCTAGCATCATCATTTTTTAATAGCTGGATGTATATTAAGTTTATCATTGCCGCCGCAGAGGTGAATTTTCTTATATATACATTTTAATGGAGTCGAGCAAGCATTTTTGGACTGAATTCATAGAAGTAGAATTTCTGGAGGGTAATAATTTTGAGGGTCTTTAATAGAAATTTTCAAATTATCTTCCAGGAAAAGTGTCTCAGTTTATACTCCCACCAACAGGAACAGAGCTCCAGGTTCCCCCTTCCATTTGTCATCTTTGGGCCTTTATATAGAAAATATCATTGTTTTCATAACATTTCTTTGATTTCTAGTGCTTTTGAATCTTCATTGTATACCTATTGGCCATTTTTATTTTTGTGAGAAGTGACTGTTTCTCCATTGCCCATTTTCTGTTGAAAATCATTTGTTTTTGTTTTTGTTTTTCTGAGTAATTTAAAATATTTCTTTACAGACTAAAGGTACAATCCTTTTATTTGTCATTGAGGTTACTAAAACTTTCTCCCAGTATGTAATTTGTTATTTCTTTCTATTTTTCTTTTCCTTCTTCCTTCCCTTCCCTTTCCTTTCCTTCTTTTCCTTTCCTTTCTTTTCCTTTTCTTCTTTTCTTTTATCTTTTGTTTCCTTCTTTCCTTCCTTTTTTTCTTTTCTTCCTTTCTTTCCTTTTCCTTCCTTCCTTCTTCCTTTCCTTTCTTTTCCTTTTGTTTCCCCCTTCTTCCTTCCTTCCTCCCTCCCTCCTTCCATTCCTTCCCTCCCTACCTCCCTCCCTCCCTTCCTTCTTTCTTTCTTCCTCCAAACTCCAAAGTCACATTTCACTTAATTTTTATCCTGCCAAATTTGAAAGCATTTTAACTTAGTGATTTTAGTGTAAACAGGAGCAGGAGAGAATGTAATTATCTAGGTCTCGCTCTGTCACCCAGGCTGGAGTGCAGTCCCATAATCATAGCTACTAGAGCCTCGAACTCCTGGGAAGAAGCAATTTTCCCACCTCAGCCTGCCAAGTAGCTAGCATGACAGGTCTGTGCCGCAACGCCCAGCTGTTTTTAAAAATTTTTTTGTAGAGATGAGAATTCCCTATGCTTCCCAGGCTTGTCTTGAACTCTTGACTTCGAGTAATCCTCCCACCTTGGCTTGTCAGAGTGCTGGGATTACAGGTGTGAACTACTGCTCCCGGCCAAGAATTTAGTTTTGTTTGCCACTAGTGTTCTTGATATCTTCTCATATTTGAGGTTTTGGTGCTAGTGCTGAAGTATTACACACACCATCCAAAGTTTACAGGACTTTTGTTTTAATATGGAATAGATGGAACTGTTCTGCATCTTTTTAGTTCTGCACCTTTGCAGGTATACATAATGTGCCTACCAGGGATCTGCTTTATATCCATTGAAAGCAAGAAGTAATACAGTAAAACTTTGTCTGGCTAGAGGCTTTGAAGGAATGGAGTGTTCTGGTTGAATTCTATTAATTTGAAAGTATGAAGGTGAAAAAAATTCAGAACTTAAATTTCCTTTGAATGCAATTTGGAAATATAGCCAATGATTCCACCTTTCTTCTCTAGTAAGTTTGGACCTTCTGATCTACTTGGTGTTTTATTATGGAACTCCTAGTGTGCCTGAAACTTAGATTGTGAAGATACTTTTTTAAAACTTTAGCTGTGAGAGGATGTAAATGGTTTTCTATAAGGCTGGATGAGAACTAATACTTGTACGTATACTTTTTTGACTGAACTTCTGATTGCCACTTGTTTTCTTTTGGAACTCATGAAAATAAAACACATTGGATGGAGGGTGGGAGTAGGAAGGAGAGTTATGTGTTTTAATTGCATGCCATTGTTTCATATCGAGACACAACATAGAGTATCCCTGGCTTTTGACATACAGAAGGAAACACATTTTTCTACCTGCTGTATGGCAGAGGTCCCTGAACACCTGGAGGGATGACTGCAGCACAAATTGCTGAGCCCTACTCCAGAGTTTCTGATTCACCAGGTCCAGGGTAGGGCCTGAGAATTTGCACTTATGAAAAGTTCTCAGGTGCTGCTGGTGCTGCTAGTCCAGAGACTACATTATTGAGAACCACTCTTGTCTACTAACTGTAAATTGTAGAACTCTAAACAAAAGCTTAGTTTGGTCTGGGATAAGAAGCACATAGATTATGGAGCAAATCATGAAAGATTCAACCCTTGATCCCAGCCTTGTGTGAACTCCAGGTACCAATTAATACACAGTGACATAACACAGTTCTTGGTTTTCGTGATTGCAAGTCATAGCCAAGTATCATGTGAGAAATTCAGTTTTCTTTGCAAGGCTTAGAGAGGCCAGGTGATTCTAGAAAAATGGGCCTTGTATTTGTTTTAAACCAGTAAAGAGCTTTGAGTGCTTATTAAATTGAAAGCTTTTAAAATTTATTTCGTATTGTATTGTATTTCTTTTGAGATGCAGTCTTGCTCTGTCAACCAGGCTGGAGTGCGGTGGTGTGAGGCTTGGCTCACTGCAACCTCCGTCTCCTGGGTCCAAGTGATTCTTCTGCCTCAGCCTCCCAAATAGCTGGAATTACCGGCACCCACCACAACACCTGGCTAGTTTTTGTATTTTTAGTAGAGATGGGGTTTCACCATGTTGGCCAGGCTGGTCTGGAACTCCTGACCTCAGATGATCCACCCGTCTCAGGTTCCCAAGGTGCTGGGATTACAGGCTTGAGCCTCTACACCTGGCCCAAAACCTCTGTGTTTTTCCAGATATTAAACATGCTTCTTGTTTGAGAAAAAAAATCTTAACAATAACATAGGAGAGTAAGAGAAACGTTTTTCCAAAAAAGAGAAATCATTGTGATTATTTTATTTTATTGAATTATAAAATAGTTGAATAATATAGTCTGCTTCATTAATCATCAAGCATGCTATGGATTTTCCATTGTTATAAGATCTGTATCTCAGTTCAGGTAATACTGGTAATTTTTGTACTGTATTTGAAGATAAAAATATAGGCCAAAATCATAGACCTTGCATAGAAGCTAGGTAATGAAGACAGCTCTAGAGGAACACATAGATACACACACACAGACACACATCTATATATAAAGTATGCACACATATATTTTTTAAAGTTTTAAAGCTTTTAAAGCAAAAGCTGGCCCCTTCCCTCTCCCAGAGTGGGCAGCCCATCCCCTCTTTCAGAGTGGATGTGAACAGCAGTTGTATGAGTAGCTTTCCTTATGAGCCACAGGTCCCTCTGGACACAATGCTGCCTGGCCACGCCCCTTTCCCTTTCATCTTTCTCCTTGACCAATAGGCTTGGAGCATTAAGGCCACGCCCCTATTCTACATTCTACTGGTGCCCTGGTTACCACTCCTGTGGCTCAGTCACACAGCTGCCTGGTAGGTGACTGGAGGTCTTGATCAGTGCTCGCTGGGATTTTGCTGTTGTGGCCCCAACCCCACCTCCCTTTCCCACCCCGCAATGGCAGAAGAAACTCCACAGAACAGATTAGCCGCAGCCAAGAAAAAGGTAAAAACACACCAGGTCATGGCCCCAACACAGCTACAGATCCCCTCCGACGACAAGACCACCGCCAGAGCCCATATCACTGCTGAGGCACACTAGACAGGGCCCTCCAATGCAGATGTCTCTGGGCTCCCCGCACAAAAGTCTTGTCAGTCAGCCCTGCCCCTTCAGCATCAGCCCAGTCCCTGCCCTCACCAATCACTCCAGGGTGACTCTGGGTGGGTGACTCCTGGGGTTCCCCTCTCCATTACTAGGCCCTCACCTCCTGCCGACCCAAGCTGGACCTCCCTGGGCTCTTTGGGCTCATGTCTCCAAGGACCTGGGTCCCCCAGCCACAGACCCCACCCTCGCCAGTCATCCCCCAGTGACTTTGGGCTGGTGACTCCTAAGGCTTCCTGCTGCAGACTCTGCCCTCCCCTCCTGCTGCCTCAAGGTCAACCTCCCTGGGCTCTTTGCACTGGCATCTCCAAGGACCTGGGTCCCAACCCTGTGTTTCCCTCCCCCATCGTGGAGTGGTAACTCGGACATTGCGCTGATGTGGTCCCTCCCCCCAATCAGGAGGAGTGGAATGTAGTGATGTCACAGTCTGCCTAGGAACTGTCATTACTGCAAGACTGACATTTATTCTTATGACCCAGTCCCTTAAGTGCTCTCACCCCATTTCTGGTTCCTCTGGTCACAGTGCAAATTTCCAGCTGGAAGGGGAATGGAGACTGTGGGACCTAGGAGCAAGAGGTTCCAGGCTGCCTCACTCCCTTAACATCGACATTGATGGCGGGGAAAGCCTACACTTCCCCGCGAGCGCAAAACGTTGACCGTACTCCATGTGGCAAGGGGAGAATGGGTTTAGTTTGGTTTTCTCCCAGGCTTCTGCTTTCCAGAGATTTTAACATTTTTTTTCTGAGCTCTCCACCTCATATTCTAATTCTCTATGGTTCTGGGACCAGACTGCCCTTCAGTCAGTCATCTCTGAAGTGAGATTTGCTCATCTTCTGTGGAATAGATCTTGGGAAACTGAACTTGACAGTTTGACTCTTCCTTGTATTGTCTTGACCTGGGGAACTTTGAGTGCCACAGGATAAATGTGAGACATCTTTCTGAAGCATCAGTTTCCCTTGATTCTCTTGAGATCAAGAGAAAAAACATGAATATATTTAGGGATGACAGTCACATAGGTTTCTAAGAGAATACCAGACTTCTCTCTGAAATGAGGCTTGGGTAGTCCTCTTTCTGTTAATTCCCGGATTTAACAGAAAGGCTGCCTTCTGCCATGAGGACACATTGATATAGAAGTTTGAGAGGTACTGGTGCACTTCTTCACACTAACAGACGTGTGAGGATGTATGACTCTAAACCACAGGGCATACGGTTCCTGCCTACATAATGTTTACTTTTCTACCTCTGCCTCTGGTTTTGGTCCGTGGCAGCTGCTGATTCTTGGCAAAACCCCAGAGCTTGGAGTCAGAAGACTGAGTTTCAAAGTTCCAGTATCGCCTTTTTCTTTTTCTTTTTTCTTTTTTTCTAGCTATGATATCAATCCCTCTCAGTCCCTAAAAGATTGTGACAACACTTATTATACAGTGGTTGGTGTCGTTAAATCAGATGGTGTATAAGAGTATTTTGTAAAAACTGTAAAGGAGGATGTGGCTGCAGGGGCCGATAGTTCTCATGACGATTACTGCTCTTCTTTCCCACAGTTAAAAGAATATTGGCAGAGAAACAGCCCTGCTGTTCCAGGAGAAGCAAAGAGTAACAGGAAAACGAATGGCAGTAACCCAGAGACATCCACTTCTGATGGTTGCCACTCCCCTGGGGATGTGAGTGTTGGTGGCCAGGCTCCTGGGGACAGGGGGCCGAAGGGGCAGTAGAGGGTAATTGTTAAGATTGTGGATGGACTGTTGGGTACTGGTTAAGAATTCTGGGTTTAGCCGGGCACAGTGGCTCACACTTGTAATCCCAGCACTTTGGGAGACCACCCCGGGCAGATCACAAGGTCAGGAAATTGAGACCATCCTGCCTAACATGGTGAAACCCCGTCTTCACTGAAAAATACAAAAAAATTAGCTAGCATGGTGGTGGGTGCCTGTATTCCCAGCTGCTCGGGAGGCTGAGGCAGGAGAATGGCATGAACCTAGGAGGCGGAGCTTGCAGTGAGCCAAGATCTCGCCACTGTGCTCCAGCCTGGGAGACAGAGCAAGATTCCATCTCATAAAAAGGAAAAAAAAAAAAAAA